TCTCCTCCAGCTCTCTCTTTTCTCGGCTTCTCATGGTAGACTTCCAGCTCTCTTGACTTCCGGGTCCGACTGCTCATTTCCTTGTTTATGAGATGGTGACTGCCATTTAGATTGATGGCTTAAATTTAGTAGCTCGTCAAGCGAATTTATTCGAAAATCGTCAAATTTCCCCACTTAAACCCTTTCTTACTGGCGATGCATTTCACTCAGGGGTTTTTAATTGAACTTACGGTGGAAGAGGTATGCCTCGCGTGGTCACGACATCCCTGGGAATCTCTGGTGCCCGCTGGGGAAGTCTGTACTCGGAAGTCTGCTTCAAATCATCGTACAAGTCGCTAACGATGCGTACGGACAAAAACCTGAGGGTGTAAAATTCCTCCATGCCGTCTTCAGTCTCAAACGTGAGTACACCAGGAACGTAGGAATAGCCATATTCCCTGCGGCGTTTACAACCGATCCTGAACCTTCTTTGGCAACCTGCAGAGGATAAATAAGAACGTTACACTCTCACAACAATAACAACTGACGAAAACAACAACCAGAACAGCAATGGGAACATCAATAAGAACAACAACAACAACAACAACTATGGCCATGCTATAGCGAGACAGACACGAATAAAGGTGTCCAAAAAAACACTGAGCTCTACAGGAAATATCGTGCAAACCGAACCAGCATTCCTGGGAATAATTTGCACAGTTAGTTCGCCTGCGCGTGCTTGCACTAGAAAAGAAAGCAAGAGAGGTTTTGAATGCATACTACAATTTGGTACGCATACTTGTCTGGCACCATTTAGTATGCATTGTTGTATGCATACTACAATTTACAACCAAAAATCAAAATACACCACGATCAACGATGGAAACAAGGCTTCATAAGCAATGACAGTTATGACGATCTGGTTTTGTATAATCCAAGTTAACATAGCATTCTCAGTGAGCATGGTTAATGTTGTTCCCTTTTCTAGAGCGGTTTTCAACTGAGTGTCGTAAAACCAAAACCAAACCAATAACTTGCCAATTAGATTGCAGTACTAAGTCAATTTCAAACCGTAGCTAAATCAAAACCAATTCCCAATTGTCAATTGCCTGATTACTTTCCAAAATCAATTGAGAACCGTTCAATTCTTCTCTCATGACTGCTTGACCAGACCAGATTTAGATCACTCTTTTAAATTAAAGGGTAAAGAAACAACTGGAACAGATGTAGTCGCTAGCATAAGTAAGTCGTTAACTTAAGGGACTGCTGAAATTCACGCTAAAGTAAGCCAAGAATTACCTGGAAAGAGCTGACCCTCAGAAGGTCCAATGCGGGAAATCTCCGAGTAATCAAAGAAATTAATGCTCCATAGTAGAGTTATGTGCTTCAGAGTGATTATCTCGTCGCTGACGTTTTCTATGATCAGCACTATCTGGCCATATTTCCCGCTCTCAACTATTAATTCTATCACTCCACTTTCGTCTGCAATTGGATCTGAAGTGAGTTTTATCCCGTGTTTGTCAAAGATAAGCTCCGGTCTGTATGAGAAAAGAAAATGCTCAGTTAGTAATTTAAAACCGTGGTTGATCAGAAAAGTTTTTTATTTATCTCATTCATGGTAGAAAATCTGAACGCGAACGGTTTTAGAAAGTATGATTTCCGCGAACAGAAGTACATGACACATTTTGGTCAGTGAGCACGATACAAATCCTGCCTCCTGATTTGTTCATCTAGAAAACTAGATACAAAAACGAAAGTAGAAAGCAGAAAGTTACTGATTAAAGAGAGATATTTGAACCAGTCTAACATGTATCAGCACATTTGTCCGTAGTTCGTGTATAGATTAATGGTTTGTATTCTGCTGAAACCTGTTGACTGTCGAAGTGTAGGATAGGTCTAGTTTGAGCCTTCATGAGGAATTAGCGTTTCAGAAAGTGCTATTTCCCAACCGATCTACTTAAGGAGATTATGACAAATCGAAACAGAAAACGATCGATTGTTAAGATGTTCAATACAAAGTGCAGCTAGACTTACTTCTGGAGTGATTTTCGAATCTTTCTGAGGATATACTGTTGGCGATGTTTCACACCAGCCATGTGAGTCCTGTAAGCGTCTGCACTCCCAAGATCCCTTTTGCAAACCTTGCAGTGATAAGCTCCATGCCTCGTGAGGCTGAAAAA